TTTTTCCTAGTTTAAAATCGAAGGTTCTGGGGTATACAAATTGGAAAACCCTGTATACAAAAGGCGTTAGTCGCATCTGGGTCAGCATGCCTGTAGACTGTAGTAGTAGTAGTGTGTAATGTAATACAGAAGTAAAGACTACCTGAGAACTAAGAGGGTATACAAGCATTTCTTATTTTTTGGTTTAATTACTGGGACGTTTATTGTGTACCACTGTGTAATCTTTCTCTTCTATAAAATGCAAATGCTATGGATTTCCTGACGACACAATATGTGTTGGGCATGAATCAATTGGTCCATCATAATGTTATTATGTAAAATTCACTTTTAACTTTTTTTATTAAGGTTTCTCAGAAAATAACCTCATGTTTAATCTCTATAACTATTACTTCGTACTTAGTATAAAGGAAGTACAAACTATGGTTTCAAAGAAAAAAAAAATAAAGTACTGTATAAACTACTAGGCATGTATTATCATGCCAAAAAAAAATTTACTCCTAAAGTTTATTGATAATTATATTTAACTTCAATTCAACTACCTGCATCAAGAGGGGAACTTTTAATGCATAGCTTAGTGATTAAATTATGCGGTATGAACATGGAGTTGTACCACTAATCATCCACTCGGCCTCGGCCAATATTTGAAGAGCTAACCTTCCTTGACAATTGACGATGATACTGCCCTTTGAAGAGCCAACAGTATTACGAGCTTGGTAATAACCCCAAAACTGGATACTAAAATCATCCAAATTACCTTGTTGTATGCTTGCCATTGTTGCCAATAAATCATTGGCAATCATGTAATTCACGGTCACATCTTTCAGGTCCATAACTACCTTATTAGTACTACTCTTGCTCCCTAATTCCTTTACACTATGTTGATTAACAATTGTAGATGAAGTAACTAATTTACCGCGATATTTGAGTGATAATCCGTCGATGGTTAAGGGTATTGTGGATTCTATGAAGGAGTACATTGAGAGGGTTATGTTTGCATTGGCTCTTGTAAAGTTGTTACCACTTGAAATTCCCATAGATAATGTGATCAGATCAAAAGACTTGACCGTAACCTCAACCTTGTTCAAGTGTTGTTGATCAATTTCATCCTCATGTTTACCAACTTCATCAAGTTTAATAACCGTTACGACACAGACGACGGTTATGACGAGCACAAAGGCAGCAACAATACATACAGCTCCAACATGTTGCGGAACTCATAGGCGTAGGCATTGTAGGAAAAAAAAAAAAAAAAAAAAAAAAAAAAAAACCACTTTTACTGACTAAATTTAACAACCTATTGTGTTTTAGTACTACTAGTATATATATACAATTAGACGATTAAACTACCAAAAATTTTATAAAATGGAAAAAAGGAATTAAATTTCTTTGTTGTAATGATAATGAAACGAGTGCATCATTTAGGAAAATAAGACTTTTACAAAATCTTTTACAATTGTATATTCTTCCCATCAATTATGGTTATTGAACATACTATAATAGTATAATGTGTAATTTGCTTCCAATTTCGATTAAGCAAGATATTTTTGTTATCAAAGACATATTTGCAGGGTATTTTCTATTTATTAAAGAATATTTGCAGGATATCTAATGTATAATTTAAGAGTCATTTTAACAACTTCTCACCACATCAATCCCTCAATTCTCATTCAATCCCTTTTTTTTTTTTTTTTTTTTTGCCCATACAAATAATTTCCACCTGTCATTTTATAAAAAAATAAATAAAAATACCCTCCTAAAAAAACTTCCACTGTTATTTTTCCTAATAACACACACTACCCCAAAAAAACTACCAACGTAGTATTTTATTATATTACCCAATTTCTTTTTAAAAACACCAATATTACAATAATTGCACATGTTTTTCCAAAATTATGTGTACTTTTTTTTTAGTAGTATCGCTACTATAAGTTCCACTATTTAACTATTTAGAAATTCTACCAATTGGTTATTTATATTTTTTAAAATCAGTTAATTGCCTTATTATTAATTCAATAATCATCGAAACAAAAGATACATACATAATGTTTTTTATGTGACAACATGTTTTTTTTTTCCCGACAAGCAGACTAGCACATTTTTTTTTTTGCGACAAACAGACTGGAGTAACCCTCTATAACACAAAACACATAACCCTTATAACATTGGCGGGATAACAACAATAACACTGAACGGGTAACCCCTATAATATTGACAGAGTAACCCCTATAACATTGATAAAGTAACTCCTATAATATCTAGCTACACGGAGTATCCACACATAAAAGAGTCAGTTGCTATAGCACAAACAACTTCACGTATTTAAAATATATTTTTGTTATTGGATTTTTGTAATGTCTTTCTATAAAATATATATCCCGTGCATTTTGCACGGGTACACTCTAGTCTAATATATAATTTAAGAATTTTTCTTTTCAACTTTCACTCACAATACTCCAATTCTTGAATGGAGACATTCTATGCATTCTCTTTTTTAATTTTTTTTTTTTAATAACTACCTCTTTAACTTCCATTTCTCCATTATTTCAAACAAAAAAAAAAAAAAAAAAATCTACAACTACCAATTAATTTTACCTTTTAAATATACATAAATGCTCCAAACTCCCTGAGTTCTCATGCATTTATTTATTTTTTATATTTTTTTTAAATTTAAAATTAAAAATAAATTTAAAAAAAAAAAAACAACAACAACTACTACCCATTCCACAAAAAAAAAACAACAACAATAACTATCATCCCAATATTTTTTTTAATTTCTTTTTTTTTTGTATTTTTTACAAGGGAATATTACTAATATTACACTTTTTTTAAGTACACTAATAACATTTCACTTTCTGTTATTTTTTTTTTAACGTAGTATAATAGATGACATGCAGTACCACGAGTATATAGTTCATTTATCATCAATTCACCATAACACTCAAAATCCCCAACCATTCGATTATATGTATTTTTTTAGGAAATACATACCCTCCAAACAACTTCGACTTCTCTAATAACCAAAACAAAATATATATATATATATATATATATATATATATATATATATATATATATATATATATATATATATATATATATATACACAACACGTTTTTTGCAAAATTGGTCTCATCGAAAAACTGTTTGCAAAAGAACAGAGTAACTCCTACATCACATAACCAAGTTACCCCGGTAACCTCTATAGCTTTGACAAGGTAAACCCCATAATTACTTGCCACATTGCGTGACCACCGACATATAAGAGTAGACCCTGTTCTTTTAAACTTTTGAGCAGGGCAAAGAACATAAGATTTCAGCATAGCAATTAGCAGGGAAAACCAAGTGTCAACAAATTAATAATATTCAGTAGAGCAGAGGTAAGCAGAGTTCAGCAGAGCAGACCAAAACACAAGTCCACAACAGCTCAAAAGAACAGGGTCTAAGTTACAACATTAAATCAACTTCCCGTATTCTAAGTAAACTTTTTCTTATAGTATATATTTAATATCTTTCTAATATAATATATATCCTGTGCAAAATGCCACTCTTTTATATATCTTTATAATATAATATAATATCTTTATAATTTAATACGGAGTATATATCTTTCTAGAGTGTACCCGTGCAAAATGCACGGGATATATATTATATTAGATCTGATACCAATAACAAAGAAAATAGTTGAAAGGAATAACAAAGGATTTTTTACATCACAATATCTTTCTAATATAATATATATCCCGTGCATTTTGCACGGGTACAACACATTGTTAATACGATTATTAATACTCACTAGAGCAAAGCTAAACAGGGTTCAACAGAGTCGACCTGTCCAAAACCGACCATTGCAACTCAAGTATAAGTTATAACATCAAGATCAACTTTCCATATTTTAAATATATTTTTTCTTATATATCCCGTGCATTTTGCACGGGTACACTCTAAAAAGATTTATATTATATTAGATCTGATACCAATAACAAAGGATTTTTTACATCACAATATCTTTCTAATATAATATATATCTCGTGCATTTTGTACAGGTACACTCTAGTTTTTGCATAATAGAAAGGCATGCAAATCCAACTTTACTTTTACTTGATTGCGGGTTACAAATTTGGATTTTGGAAAATTTTCTCTTTAATAAAAAACAGAGAAATTGGAATATTATCAATTTGGCACGACTTATTGTAATTGTATATTTTGATAGAATTGTACCTAAATTACACTGTAAATATATTACAACAATAATCTAACAAGGGTATGTATAAAACCAAAAGAAAAAGTGGAGAGCAAGTGCAAGTGAAGTAACCATGCAAATAAACAAGCCGAAATGTTTAGTGTTTTGAGGGTGTTTTGTTATCACCTTAGTCTTGTGTATCATTGTTGGAATCAAAACGTCTAACAGATTTGATGAAGATTTTGATAAGAACCATGGGTGCAAGGACCTTGATGTATTCGGCAACAAGTATCACGTCGATAAGTCTCATAAACTTGGGGTTACGTCCATGGTAATCTCTACTATGAGTAATCATTTTACAACCGTCGATTTAAACTTAACCTTGTTTATGGACTCCTTAAAAGTGCTTACAAAATCATTATACGTCGATAAATTCTCTCTTGACTACAATGACAAATCGCTTGTTCCATCTACGAAGATTGATAAACATTCTTATGATACATTGTCAGTTGTCACTAGGGAGACAGAGTACTAATGTTAAGGTAGTCATGCAACTCGGCAATGTAACTGCTAATGACGTGACTGCTAAAGATTTAGTGGCAAAGAAACAAAAAAGTTACGATGAAATTAACATCAAAATTTGGGGTGATTACAACTCTAAAGTCTCTAATCATCATAAAAAGTGCAATATTTTTATCAATTGTAAAGGATGGTTAGATGTTAGAATCGTGGCTGAGGCAGATTAGAGAATACAATAAAATGATTTGACAAATATATATAGAGAATATTTTTTTTTGAAAGAAATCAATCGGTGTATTAATTAGCGAATGGACAAAGCGTCCGAGAATACATAGGGTGAAATTTCCATAAGAACATGATTCACCCAAGTTTGTTCTACACCGAAAGGACGAAGCTTAGCTAGATGGTGAGCAGCTACATTGCCACCTATTTTAACATGAGCCCAAAAGCAAGAATTAAAGAAAGAACTTAAATACAAAACATCTTCTAACACATTATCAAGATCAGAAAAGAAAGTCGTAGCCTTCGACAGACGATCAATAAGTACTTGGCAATCGGACTCGATTATCACATCCTTATATCCGTGACTCTTGGCCAAACGAACAGCCATACAGATGGCTTTGCCCTCTGCTATCTCCGGTGGCCACCACGCCTTTGATCTCCGAGTTGCAGCAAAAGCCACACTTCCAGCACTGTCCCGAGCCACCACGCCTAACCCCACCCAACCATCCTCCGAGAGAGAGGCATCCGCATTGATCTTAATGAATCCATCGGGGGGAGCTGTCCAGGAATTCTTGCTGCGAGTTTTAGACTTTGCAAAGCTCACATGCACCTTCTTGCTATACAAACCATACTCCTCACTTAGCCTGATTGCTCGTGCTAAAAGAACAGGGTTGGGGGTAGTTTTATCACTGAAGACTTTCTGATTTCTCTCGCCCCATATACACCAAGCAAGGAAAGCCGCACGTTGCTGCTTCTTGATGCTTCCTCTTTTCCAGCTAGCAAGAAACTCACATGGATCATTCATCACACTCACATCGAACAGCTCCAAGCAGCCACTGTCCTTCCACAACTCTTGAACTCGAACACAGTAGAAAAAAGCATGGGCACTCGATTCCTCTTCCCTCCCACACCCAAGGGCACACAGCATTATCAATAAGATGGCGATGAAAAAGTAGAGCTTTTGTGGGCAGGGAGTTAGTACAGAATCGCCACAAAAAATGCCTAACCTTTGGTGAGACCTCCAAACTCCATATATACCTCCATACTTGATGAAAGTCATCAAAATTACACCCCTTCCCAAGCATATAAGCAGTTTTGGTGGAGTACAAACCGTCCATCAAAAAAGCCCAAGTAAGAACATCCTTTGGACCCCTCAAACTCAACGGAATGGACAAGATACATTTTTGATCTCTCTCATTAAAGTGACTGGCAATCAATTCGGTGTTCCATTCCATATTGTCAAAATTTATAAGCTCACTAACCTGAGAGAGACCTCCATTTTCGCTCGTTGTCACCAAACTTCCATGCTCATCCGCAAGCCAAGCATCATTCCAAATATTAACTTGCGAACCCGTCCCAATTCTCCAAATCAACCCTTCTTTCACCAAAGCTTTAGCACTCCAAATACTTTGCCAAGTGTAACTTCCCCCATAGCCAAGAGCCGCATCAAGGAAGGAGCAATTTGGATAGTATTTCGCCTTCATAACCTTGCTAAGGAGGGAGTCCTCCTTATGCACTAACCGCCAAGCCTGCCTTCCAAGCAATGCATCATTAAAGACCCGAAGGTCTTTAAAGCCCAAGCCACCCAAGCACTTTGAGGTGCAAATCGAGGCCCAACTTCACCAATGAATCTTGCGTTGAGCACCTTGCTGACCCCAAAAAAATCTAGCCATTGCGCTCGCTATTTTATCAATAACCGAGCAAGGGAATTTATAGACCCCCATCAAGTAAGTCGGGATGGCTTGAATGACCGCTTTGAGAAGAGTTTCCTTCCCGGCCCGGGAAAAAAGCTTCTCCTTCCAACCTTGAAGTTTCTTCCAAATTCTATCCAAAAGAGCCCCGAAAATTGCTTTTTTCGATCTCCCAGCAGCGGTGGGAATGCCAAGATACTTGCCATGTCTGTCAACCTGTCGCATTTTCAAAGCACTCATAATTTCATCTTTTTGCTCCTGTCGAACCCCTTTGCTAAAAGAAACCTCCGATTTTTCATAATTAATTTTCTGCCCGGATGCAACTTCGTATTGGTTGAGAATATCAACAATGGTTTCGCATTCTTGTCGGTTGGCTCTAGCAAAAAGGAGACTGTCATATGCAAAAAGAAGATGAGAAACAGTAGGACCCCTGCGACTAGCTCTGGCTCCATGAAGCTCCCCTCTTTGAACCCTATTCTGCAGCATAAAAGAAAGTGCGTCTGCTACCAGAATAAACAGATAAGGGGAGAGAGGGTCCCCTTGATGTAATCCACGAGAAGGAACCACGTCACCACATACTCTTCCATTAATAACAAAAGAGTATCTCACTGTAGACACACATTGCATAACCAAGTTCACCCATCGACCATCAAATCCCATAGTGAGCAACAACTTTCTCAAAAAGCCCCATTCAACTCTATCATACGCCTTACTCATATCAAGTTGAAGAGCAATCGTACCCCGTTTCCCTTTGCTTCTATTCTTCATCGTGTGAAACATTTCCAGAGCTATAAGAGCATTATCAGTAATAAGACGACCCGGGACAAAAGCACTCTGATTCTCCGAAACCACACCAGGCAAAATCAACTTCAATCTCATGACAAGAACTTTAGAGACAAGTTTATATAGCACATTGCAGAGGCTAATTGGTCTAAATTCGGAAGTTACAGTTGGATCATTGACTTTTGGAATTAAGGCAATATTAGTAGTGTTTACATGTTAGTTCTAAAGAGACGGACCCACTAAGAACCCCACTAACAAAACTAGTCACATCATCTCCAATAATGTGCCAAAATTTTAGATAAAAAACGGCATGCATACCGTCGGGGCCCGGAGCTTTGCAGGGATGCATTTGTTGAAGAGCAGAGAAGATTTCATCCTATGTGTGAGGCTTCATCAAGTCCACATTCTAATCCATCGAAACAGAACTTGTAACATGTTTTAGCACATCATACAACTCTTCGTCAGAAGGCTTGTTAGAAGTAAAAATCCCTCTAAAATAATCAGTCACCACACCTTCAATTTGACGCATATCCACCTGCCACTCCCCTTCCGAATTAAAAAGCCCTTTAATTCGATTTTTCTTTTTTCTTTGTGAAGCTTTGTGGTGAAAGTAACTCGTGTTCCTATCACCGTCACGCACTTCAGCTACTCTCGACCTCATGTACCAGTGTGCTTCATATTTGTCATGTAAATCATCCAACTCTTTTTCTAGCTTCACACATTGATCACAGCTTGCGGGGGAAATAGTTCGATGTTGAGCACATCGAAGGGCCTCCTCTTTTAACTCAATTTGCTTGCCAAGATCATTGAATTTCACCTCACTCCATTCTAGCAGCTTACGCCCCACAGCCTTAAGCTTACCCACCACTGTCTCCCCCATGGGCGGAGCTAGAAGGGGACATGTGGGGACACTTGTCCCCCCATTTTCAAAAAAAAAAATTTAAAAAAAAAAAAAATTTAAAAAAAAAAAAAAAATTTAAAAAAAAAAAAAAAAATTAAAAAAAAAAAATGCAATTACAGATTTACAGTGCTCTGTTGCGACATTTGCCAGCCAAACCCTAAGTTTTTCAATTTTCAATTTCTCTCTCTTCGATTCGCCCTCGCCTGTCGCCTAGCCGGCTCGCCGTGACGCCGTCCACCGTTCGCCGGCAGTTCGCAGCAGTGACGAGGTTCAACAGCCGCCCTTGAGCCTTCGTCCTTCGTGACTTCGTGTCTTCGTGACTTCGTCAATCGCCTAGCCGGCTCGCCGTGACGCCGTCCACCGTTCGCCGGCAGTTCGCAGCAGTGACGAGGTTCAACAGCCGCCCTTGAGCCTTCGTCCTTCGTGACTTCGTGTCTTCGTGACTTCGTCATATGCATAAGCATAACACATTTGCTGTAAATCTGGATTTCAATGGAGGTATGAATCAATGAATGTATGATTAATTGAATAATTGATTACTTGTTTTGTTGTTTAAATGTTTAATTGTTTAAATTTACAGTAAATCTGAAATTCTGAATTTCATATTTTTATTACTTGTTTAAATGTTTAATTGTTTATATTTTTATTGTGAATTTGTCATTTGTGGCCTTGTGGGTATTGATTATTGAATAATTTGAATTGATAAATGATTATTGATTTATATTTGTTTGATTGTTTCCCCTGTTAGAGTTTTTGGTTGTTTTTGTGAAATGTGAATTTAAATTATTAATTATTGTAAATTATTGAAATGTGTAGTTGAATTAGAAATTTAAAATCTTAGCCTCTTAGGTTTTGTTATTATGTAATGATGTGGATTGTGGTCTTGTGGAAATTGATATATAATTTTCAATTTAACTAGGAAATATCAAAAGATTCACCAAATTCAAACAAATCAAAGGCAACTAAACAACCCGATCTTCGACAATTCTTGTTTAAAAGAACGAGACTCAATGAAAATGAGTCCAATAACTCACCTTCAGTTAGCTCCCCTCAAAGTCAAGAAAATAGTATGGAAATGGGTGGTTCAAGTAATAGTAATGTACCATTAGAGGAAGATTTGGTGTATGATGTTGAACTTCTTCCTCATGATCCGGGAAAAAGAATAAACATTATGGATTACCCCGCAAATGAACGAAATGCTGTTAGGAGGGGTTATATTCTTAAAAAACCTTGCCAACCAAAAACTCATGTCTTCCCTACAAGACAAGTGTCTGGTTTGCGTCGCTTTAGTGTTCATTGGTTCAACAAATGGGATTGGCTTGAATATAGTATTGAAAAAGATGCTGCATTTTGTTTTGTATGTTACTTGTTCAAGAATGAAGTTGATATTAAACCGGGGGGTGATGCATTTGTTGATGGAGGGTTTAGGGCATGGAATAAACCGGAAAGATTTGAGAAGCATCTTGGTGGAATTAAAAGTGCTCATAATCTTGCTTATGAGAAATATGTGAATTTAAGAGATGAAAAAAAGAAATCAATCTTGAATGTGATTGACAATGCAAGTGATGTGATTAAAAGTGAATATTTTATCCGCTTGAAAGCATCTTTATCTTGTTTAAGATTTCTTTTGGGGCAAGGTTTGGCATTTCGTGGACATGATGAAAGTGGGGAGTCATATAATAGGGGTAATTTCCTTGAGCTTTTGAAGTGGTTAGGAGAAAAGGTTGAGGAAGTAAGGATACATACTCTTGAAAATGCACCTAAAAATTGTCAAATGACTTCCCCTCCTATTCAAAAGGACATTATTAACTGTTGTGCCAAAGAAACAACTAGGTGCATAATAGAAGAAGTTGGTGATGATTACTTTGCTATATTGGCCGATGAGTCAAGTGATGTGTCCCAAAAAGAACAACTAGCTCTTGTTTTGCGTTTTGTTGATAGAGATAGTGGAAAGGTAATGGAGCGATTTTTAGGCATTGTTCATGTTGCTAATACTACCGCTTTAACTCTTAAAGATGCAATCATGTCTTTACTTGTTGAACATTCATTGAGCCCATCTATGATAAGAGGGCAAGGGTATGATGGAGCTAGCAACATGAAGGGTGAAATAAATGGCCTTAAGACTTTGATTATGAATGATACTCCAAGTGCCTACTATATACATTGTTTTGCTCATCAACTTCAACTAACATTAGTTGCCGTTGCTAAAAAGAATGATAGTTGTGGTTGGCTTTTCGAGATACTTGGAAATTTGTTGAATGTGGTTGGAGTTTCTTGCAAGAGAAGAGAAATGATTCGTCAAGATCAAGCTCAAGAAGTTGCTCGAGCCTTGGATGTTGGGGATATTGTGAGTGGATCGGGTTTAAATCAAGAACTTGGTTTGAGTAGGCCCGGGGATACTCGTTGGAGTTCTCATTACAAGTCACTTTTAAATGCCATCCTCTTATTTCCTACAATTATTAAGGTGCTTGTACAAATTGGGAAGCATGGTGCATCGGAAGATAAGTTCAAAGCTCAAATTGTTTTAGGACAATTAGAGTCATTTGACTTTATTTTTGTTGCTCACTTGATGTTGACTATTTTTGGATACACTAATGATTTGTGTGTTGCTTTGCAAAGAAAGGAGCAAGATATTGTAAATGCCATGGAACTTGTCACTTATACAAAAACGGTGTTGCAAAAAATGAGGGAGCGAGGATGGGATACTCTCTTAAACAAGGTAACTTCATTTTGCACTAAACATGGTGTTGTTATTCCCACTATGGATTCTCTTTATGTTCCTCATGGAAGATCAAGACGTTTTGTTGAAGAAGCAACAAATGAACATCATTTTCGGGTTGGAATTTTCTTAAGACTAATTGATTTGCATCTTCAAGAACTTGATGAACGATTTAATGAGAGGAATATGGAGTTACTATTATGTATGGCTTGTTTAAGTCCTAAAGATAACTTCTCATCCTTTGATAAAGATAAGGTACTTAAACTTGCCTCTTTTTATCCCGAAGAATTTTCAAGCTTTGATTTGATGGCTCTTGAATATCAACTTGATGTATTCATGGAGAATATGCTAAATGATGAAAGATTTCAAGGTTTAAATGACCTTAATTCTCTTTCTATGATGCTTGTTAAAACCAATAAGCATAAGACTTTTCCTCTTATTCATTTGCTTATCAAGTTGATGTTGATTCTTCCCGTTGCCACGGCAAGTGTTGAAAGAGTGTTTTCTGCAATGACATGTGTCAAAAACAAGTTGCGAAATAGCATGGGTGATCAACTTATGAATGATTGTTTGGTCACTTTTATTGAGAAGGATGTCTTCTTACGAGTTTCCGACGAAAAGATTATTGATCGATTTCAAAGTATGAAGACTCGAAGAATGAACTTGTAATTTTAATGTAATGTTTATGTAATTTTTTTCATCATTTTGAATTGTATGACTAAGTATATATTTGTATTTTGAAATTTTAATATTAAGTATTAACCAATTTATGTGTGAGTTTTTTTTTTGTTTTTATTTTTTGTTAAGCTTTTCGTAAGTTAAGCATTTTGTCCCCCCAAGTTGAAAATCCTGGCTCCGCCACTGGTCTCCCCTGTAGCATTATTCCACGCACACCGTACAGTAGCTTCGCAAGTATCATCCAACAACCAAGCCGATTCAAACTTGAAGCTCTTCCTACCCTTTCTCTTATTCTTTTTACTTTGCTCAAAGTGAGTAAGGATCGGTGTGTGATTAGATTGGTACTTTAAGAGATGCTCAACAAACACATCGGGATATAAGAGAAACCATGAAGGAGATGCAATGAATCTGTCCAGTCTTTCCCGAATTTTGGTAGCTTCGGTTTGCCCCCTTTTCCCAGGTCCACCATTGCCCTCTAAATCCAAGATCACGAAGCTCGCAATTGTTCATAACTTCTCTGAAATTTGGCATTTCCCTTCGATCACGATTTGAACCTCCCTCTTTCTCACTCAATGAGAGAATCTCGTTAAAGTCACCTCCGAAGATGATGGGCAATGAAACGCCTTCACACAATGACTGAATGAGCCTCCACGTACAGTGTTTATGAGAGGAATCCGGCCAGCCATACATACCAACGAACCTCCATTTAACCCCTTCTCTCACAACATCACCACCGATATGATGTTGGGAGAAAGAGACAAGTGAAAAATCCACTTTGTCCTCGTTCCAGAATAAGCACAACCCTCCAGCCTTCCCACGACTTGCAACACCAAAAGCATTAGCGTAGCCAATTTTATGTTTAATACCTTCCACATCCAATTTGCTGATCATGGTTTCAGAAATAAAAACCAAATCAGGGGCATAAAGAGAGCTCCATTTACGGAGTCTACGAACTGACTGGGGGTTGCCCATCCCCCGACAGTTCCAGCATAGTAGACTCATTGGATTTGGCGGGGCTGGTTCAAACCAACCTCCGCCATTATATCATCAACATATTCTGAAACAATCAATTTTTGTTTCTTACCCTGTCCATCTATACTGTCAACAGCCAAGTCCTCATACCGAGAGCAAGCATCTCTCTTCACAAGAACTGAAAGAGACCCTCCCTTAGTCTCCCCTCCTCCCTTCTCAATCCTCTTCCACGATTTTGCACCAACTGACTTACTCGGAATTTTTGTAGCTGCAACAAATGTAAAGGTAGTGCCATCAATAATCGCAGCATCCTTAGCCACAGAAGTCTGCTCAATCGTAGCATTCTCTGCCTCTTTATCCCCAGCTTCATGATTTTGAGCAGCAGTCAAATCAGTATTGGAGTCGCTACAAGTGATCAAACCTTGTTCTGCTTCAGTCTCTTTAGAGCTCTGCTTATCCCCTTCTTTAGTTACAAATAATTGGCGCTTCCCCTTAGTAATCTGAGCAAGCTCTTCAACCTCCTTGGCATGACCTTTCCTTGGTGAAGCGCGAAGAAATAAGCCCCATCCCAGACGCTTCTCTTTCTCCTCCTCTGTCATCGCAAGGCAGTCTCTTTCGGAGTGACCAATCACACCACAGGCAAAAAAGAAATAAGGCAATCACTCATACTTGAATTCAACCTTAAATTCATTACCTCCCCTAGACTTAATGCGCTGGTATCGACGCAATGGTCTAGTAACGTCCAACATCAAGCGCACTCTTCTATAACGGTTCAAACCAAGAGTATCCTCTTCAATCTCAAGTAATTCCCCTAATCCCGAAACTAGGGCCTCGATATATTCATTCGATCTACAGTTGAAAGGCAATTTGAAAATACGTAACCAAAAAGGCGAGTGCTTTAGGTTCACCAGATCAGGTTGTTCATCGCCTCCCACTTCATTCAGAACAAGGAGGTGGTTATCCCAGCACCAAGGTCTACCCTTCATAACTTTCTCCTTATCTCGCCAATGGAAAAATTGAAAGCCATACAGATTAGGGCTTAAAACCCTAATAACCATCCCTTCTACAGGCGCCCAGACCTTCAGCATTGTGCGCTTAAAGGCTTCCACATTGTAAGGTCTAGCCATGCATAACCGCCCCACCACGAGCAATTCAAGATTGCCTTCAGCTTTTCCGGATTCCATATTACCTAAGTCAATCACGTTCTCTTCATCATCCTCCAGTTTTAGAGAAGAGCACTTGTCTATCAATTCATCCTCCATCAGGACGGAGGCTAATCGTTCGAGACGGAGGTCGATCCTTTTTCGCAAGGGAGCAAAACCCTATCTTTCGAGGGAGAGTTTTTTGAGTGATATTAGTTGTTTTATATATAAAGAATATTTACTAGTACAATAAAAAGTAAAAAGAAAAAAAAATAAAGAAAATAGTTTTGAAAGGAAAAAATAACATCAGGAAGTAAATAGGATCTTTTACCAAAACGGCTAGTTTGACAAAAGTATTTATCAAAACGGCTAATTATAAATTTTAATTCTCAAACTAGCTAATTTATTAACTTGGAAGGAATTTATCCATTTCTTATTTCCTTTAAACCGGTTTGGTTCACTTTTTTTTTTAATTTTATTTTTTAACTTTGTTTTTTTGGTTTTATTTTTATTTACTTAAAGATTTTTTAAAGTTGGAAAATTTAAGCAATATACAAAACTACGAACAACGTAAACAGTCGCAGACTTGCAGAACCCTAATTTCGATCGAAAAAAAATTAAAAGCACTAATTTTTCATCTATATCAATCACAAAAATTTGGAATTTCATGTAGAATTGTTCTATCAAGACTACCGCGAATTTATACGACGATAAGAGATTTTAAGGTATTGTTCATCTTATTCATGTCTACTAATTGTATACTCTTTGTTAATGTCGACTAGTATGAATATTTTATTTTTTTTTGTTTAATGTGTATGATAAATTAAACTTACATATATTTATTTCTATCTTTATGTGTTAAAAAAAAATAGTTGTATTTTTTTTTATTCTTTTGTTGATTGGAAGTATGGATTTTTTTTTTGAGTGGTTGTTTGTGTTGTGTAATTTTTGTAAAAATTAAGAATTGCTGCATATATATTATGTTGATTGTTCAAATTAATGGGATATTTTAAACTATGGCCTTAGAATTTAAATAAAACCAAAATTTAAAAAAAAATTCTTTTTAAATTAAAAAAAAAACATAAAGTGAATTGAACGGGTTCAAAGGAATATAAAAAATAAATAATATCCTTTCAAATCAATAAATTTAGCTAGTTTGGAAATTAAATTTTATAATTAGCCGTTTTGGTAAATACTTTTGTCAAATTAGTCATTTTGGTAAAAGATCCAAAGTAATACTTGTTATTTCTAATGTCCGTTTTAGTATTATGTTACTGATTGATTGATACAATGAGACAAATTAAACGAAATCCCGCTTAAATATATGGTCAAAATATTAACTTTTGACCCAAATATTTGTGAATACAACTAGATTCAAAATCATGCAATCTTTATTGATCTTAAATTACTGAATTAGCCTAGAATGGGCAACATGCCAACATATAGCTACTGCATTAAAAATATACTCCACTATCAACTACAGAGAAGCACCTAATAGGCTAATAACAGATGGACTATAAAACTTGTGTCGATTAAAGCGTAGCAACTAATTCAAAACGGGTGAGCAATTACTTCATCTATTATAGAAGTATGGTAAAATTGGATCAATTATAACCTATTTTGGATGAACAATTTGTAATTGGGTCTATAATCATCCTCTTAGCCTCGACCATGATTTGAAGAATTAACCTTCCTTCACAATCGATTGTAATACCACACTTTGGAGATCCATTATGACGATTAGTTTGATAAGTACCCCAAATTTTTATGCTAAACTTATCCAAACCTTGTTCTCTTTCCGTGCTTGCCGATAAATTTTTGGCAATTGTATTATTAGCCATAACATTGTGGAATTGCATAACTACCTTAACAACTCTCTAATTTTTTTCGATTATGCATCGTCTCAATCAAATTCGAGATTTGATAAGAATGTTCATTAGTCTTTGTAGATACAATGAGCGATTTGCCACTATACTCGAGAGATAGTCCATCGACAGACAATGATTCTTTGGACACCTTAGAGTACGTAAAGAGGGTTAAGTTTAAATCGGTTGTTGTAAAATTATTACTACTTAAGATTTCCATGGACGTCAACCCTGTTGGGAAAAATAGTATTTCCCTCTTTGTGTATTCAAGATGGGAATCACAAAATAATACTACTAAAAGAAACAAAATAACACAAGAGATTTTTGGTAACGCGGAAAACCCAATAATGGTAAAAACCGCGGGACTAATAGTCCAAAACTTCGGCTATAATATAATAGTAGGATTACAATATGACTTCACCCAAATTGGATGGATAACAATATTTTTGTCACAAAGTACAATTGTGGAACACTCACTAACTTGTAAATGAAGATGATCTCAAGCTTCTCACTTTTCTTTGTGGCTCTCTCTTACTCTCTTAGAGGTTTTCTTCACAATGCTTATTGTGGAATGACTTGCATGCCAGGCTCCTCCAAGGTTCTCCTATTTATAGATGTCCAAAGACATCCTAGAATCTTCCACACAAATGTGGAGAAAAATTAATCTAGTCACATTCTCTTAATCTAGAAAACATGACAAGTTCAAGGTACATACTAAGTTCATGATCATACATGAACTTCCTTGTTCACGAAGTAGTACCATTTGTGAGTTCCAAGGTCTTCACTTCCAACTGACTAAAAATTCATCTCCCCTTTTTTTTTTTTTAATCTTGGGAACCCCATAATTAAGGAGGGAGTCCCAACAAACCCAAGGTAATCATACGACGGATTGACATGTAAATCCAAGTCGAGACGACCTCCATCATCCTCGTGCTTATTCCCGAACATATTATCGGCCTTAACGCCAAGATGCCGATAATGATACATGCGACTAAGACGATAACACAGCAACAACAACATCCACAACAATCCGACATGTTTAAAGTTAATGAAATTTTGCTCTCAACTATTTTATTTACACTCGTCTTTATTGTTGTCCTATATATATATAGAGATTGAGAGTTCGAATAATATTGTGTGTTTCTTAGCAAGATAGGATCATAGGAAAACAACACGTAAAATTGAACGGCAAAAAATGAAAATTTCCCTAATTATATTCATACCATTCTCGGCATTCTGTCATTACTTTATACTCATGGGAAATTTTTCCTTAGGAAAGAATGGTAAGAATACATAAAGGAAGTTTTTCTTAGGAAGAAAAAAAATGGTATGATATAATTAAGGAATCTATATATTTTAGGGAAGCAATATATTTTTCAAAAAAAAACTTGCAAATAATGATGGTTGAGGTCCAAGAATATTTTTTATACTCTATTATCACTCCCCCTCACACGAGTAATTAGTGAACACTAGACCCTAGTGTAGGTAGGACACCCTACACCCCTCTAAACGCATCATTTAGAGTACTACCCACACCCTCCACTAACTTTTATTTTATCTCTCCTCACCCTTTTTTACATTTTCTCTCTCCACACCCATTTCTCTGCAAGTTTCTTTCTCATCAAAAGCTTTAATTGCAAAATTGTTTTTAAATTATCATAAGAAAAAAACTTCAAACACTATGAAATTCAATAAAACAAGACGCAAAATCTGAAAAAGTAAGTTATTTTATTTAAATTTGGAATGAAAAAGAGTATAAACCCTAGGTTTTACTAATTTTTTTGTTGCGATGTATTTCGAAAATGTAATCGAAACATCAACCATGAAAATTGTATATCAATGTAAGTATTTACGATAATCGATCTTAGTAATTTTTAATGAAAAACTAGTAAATTATATCAGTACATTCTTCAGTTTTGTTTGCAGAGCGAAGGAAACCGTTTCAGAGAAGAGAAACAAAGAATATAGTTCGTAGTTTACTATTATTATTATTATTATTATTATTATTATTTCTTTAATTTTTTATTTTTATAAATGTTCATTTTCATTTTGTTAAATGTTCATTTATAGGTTAGTATAACGTCATTCACATTTTAATAAATGATAAATGTTAATTTACGTATTGATAAATGTTCATTTTCATTCTTATTCATTAAAAGTTCATTTTTATACTATTAATTAAAGCACCCAATTATATAATGAGTAGTTATTTTTACAAATTTAATAAGAAATTTCAATAAGAGTGTGTGTTATATTGTAGTTGTCATGGAAATGATTCTTACAATTACAATAAGGAGTGTGTGCTACCTTCAAAAATTTTCAATAAAAAGTACAAAAATTATAAATTTTATACATTTTTCATCTATAATAATGCTCCTTAATCAAATGTTCAATTATAAATAATTGTATGTTCATTTACAACTATTAAATAAATATGTTCAATTTTGAAATATTATATGTTCAATTACAATAATCAAATATGTTCATTTTTGAAATATTATATGTTCAATTATAAATAATTGTATGTTCATTTACAACCATTAAATAAATATGTTCAATTATAAATAATTGTATGTTCATTTACAACCATTAAATAAATATGTTCATTATTTTTGAAATATTATATGTTCAATTATAAATAATTGTATGTTCATTTACAACCATTAAATAAATATGTTCATTATTTTTGAAATATTATATGTTCAATTATAAATAATTGTATGTTCATTTACAACTACTAAATAAATATGTTCATTTTAAAAATATTATATGTTCAATTATAAAATTATACGAGTATACTATTTATAAAAAAATTTAAAAATTATACACTTCTCGTTAAAATCAGAAGCAAGCTTTATCAATGGTGATTTGAGCTTCTTTATATTTTCCCTGCTTCTTAATCGTTTGCACTTTCCCCCTTTAACCCACTCAACTAATTAAGCCACAATAACCACTGTTGCCTCATTGCCTCACGACCACTGTTGTCTCGCTGTCGTCGCCGCTACCACATAACCACCATCATCTCGCCACCACCGCTACCATAACAACTGCAATTTTCTTATTGAGTTGATTGCTTGTGAGTTAGGATCATCAATTGCTTTTTTAGTTTTTTGAAACAAAGGATCATCAATTGTTTTATTATAATTGATACCATGGAAATCTCTTCACACTCTTTATTTTATACGAGTACAATACTTTTTACATGTAATTGAAACTCAAAACATTGAATTAACTTGCAATGGTATATAACAAAAA